AACGTCTTCCATCAGGTATTCTAAATGATTTACGATGAGCTCTCGGCCTTAAATGACGGGGGACTGAGGAATTGCTCTAAACGCTCGACGAAGATCTTGTTCTTCGGGTCGTACGCCGACCTGGATTCCTGTTTCATTTTGAGTCATCTCGGACACTTAGACCGCCACGCATGAAGCTGCAAAGGAACGGGTCTTGAATCCCAGAGAGTGAAAAGGAGACGCGCTACCGAGGCAACAGGCAGCGGAGAATTTCATTTCAGGACCGACACCCGCAGTGAAGGAGCACTGCAGGACGAACGCGAGATCTGTGTGAGGCTTCGTGTCCCTCGGCTGGCTGAACGCCGACCGGCCGGCCCCCCGGCGAACAGCCCAACGACCAGTGAAACTTGGAGGCAGTGCGGTGAAGTTTGTGTGCCGTCGTCCGGTGTATGAATAAATATGGAAATATCCGTGTACGATCACAACACGGTCCATGGCGGGAGAATCGCTTCTCGAACAAATCCACACCGTTTGATCTCCATCCGAAAGGCTGTTTACTGATCCGTGAGGACCTCAGCTCCGCGAAGGGGAGCTTTCCAGCATTTTTCTCCCGCAGATTGGAAAGGGATTCCGCAAGGCCGGCTCCGAGAGTCACACTAGCCGCTAGAAACTAGCCCCTCGCGATGCTCCCACGTCCTCAGCCCACTGGCATAGGAAGCTCTAATTCACATCGGAATGTTTAAGTTTCTCACAACTTCCGCGACGTTACCATGGCACCCGTCAGAGAGGGGAACGCTCGATTTTCGTGTGAGAATTCGACAGGAATTCCGGAATTCCTTCGACGACAAGAGAACGGGTAGATGTCGAAGATACAGAGCTCTGACCGAACATTTCCTGTTTTAGCAGCATTGACGAAGTCGGAGCTGGCGGTTGTAGCACGCGGAAGGTCTTTCTCCTGGTTCCGAGACAAAGCGACCCGAAACAGCATTTCATGGGGATCCTCTAAGTGAGATTTTGCACGTACCTACTTTCATGGGAAGATCGGTCGTGGAGAATCGCAATGAAAACGCGAAATCTTCTCAGTTGGTCGCAATTTCTCGATCCCCGAAATTCGAGAGATTGAATTATCCCCAAAGCCGAGGAGGGTCCTTGGGTGAGGGGCTGGTTTCACGAACATTCGTGAGGAGGGCGCGCGCTTTCCGAGGTCGATCAGCTTCCTCGAGAAAACTCCAGGGAGTAGTGAATGAGGATATCCACGAGGATTTCGCGCGGTTTCCTCATTCCGTTGAATAATCTTAACAATGAGTTCCCGCGACATGTCAGACGATTCGTTATACATACATATCTTGCCGAACTATATCGATATTCATGCTCAGCTCTCGCAATTGGCGTTCTAACCTCCAATGTTTGGGTGCCATGTGGTCGTTGCGGGCTTCCCGTTAGGTTCCGAGAGACTTCTCTCATGATAACGGCAGCGTACGTGCATGAACACAGGCGGAATAGCAGGAATGGAGGGAGGGTGTTTTCAGGAACGAACTCAAAACAAGTTCGCGAAGTCTCAGGGGACCCGGAGCTATCCAGAGACTGTGCTCAGAGGATGCGAGTGGATTCCATAAGCAAACCAAATGAGATTCAGACGAGGATCCCCCCTCTCGTGTTCTGGCGAGGCTGGCGTGTAGCAGCACCGCAACTGCTCGTGAATTTTTCCTTCGATTAGACGGATGCTAATGCGCGGGTGCGCGTATGCGCGAGTTCATCTCACGCATGAGAATGCCCTGGCGGATCGCATCGGCGGTGGACCAGGAGCCAAGCGTTTTGCGCAGAAAATCTGAATTGGTTCAGAAAATTTGCCGAAAATACTGGTCTCCGATGTCCGTACCGCGCCAGCACCGTGGGCCGCTTTTTGATGTTCATTCCTAGGGAGCTGACAGTGCGAAGACGAAATCCGAGATATCGATGCTCTGCCGAGCAAAAAAAACAGCAACAGGGTGTACCTCGAGATGGGGAGCAGCGCCGCGCTCTCCCACGTCCGATTTCTGCAAGCCGATGTCGACAGACGCAGCGACGATAAGGACGGAACGACGGGAATGTTTTCTGAGGAGTAGCCTCGACTGAGACCGACTACGCTCGAGATTTCCCCTCCATTCCGTGAGCAACTTTGCTCGAGAGAATGGTGCTGTGATCCGCGCCAATCCTCAAAGTTTCGATTCCGGGTCCGATCCCGGGTTCTTGATGCTGGAAATCCAATTGATGCCGCGCCGCTGCATTCCGGCGGATACGGCATGCCCTCGACCCAATGAGAGACTGAGGACTGATGTGAGGTTATGGCTTTAGGCCTCTAGAAATTAGAGTCTGGGTCATCTGTTGGCACCGGTATGATCGAGCTCTGAACCCGAAACACTCCCATCAAGCTCTCCTTGTCCCGGAAAGAGCAGACGATGGATCCTGTTGTTACGGAGTCTGGCCGGTAAACAAAAGTATTAAAATTGTTGCGGTCATTAGCGTGACAGTTTTGTGTGTTATGACCGTCGCCGCTTGCGGTGAGTGAATGGACTTGTCCTGGAACTGGTGCTCGTGCGTTGATATGAGCGAATCATTACCGCGTTGCTCGTTATTCCGTTCGCTCACAGGTGCCCCATCGTATTCTGGCCTCGACGGGCTCTTGCAAAGTTGATAAAGCTTCCTGCGCCTCGCAACGGTACGATGCCTCTCTCTGAGCGAGCATTCCAGCGTCACATAGAGCATTTTTTAACAATGCGGAGAAGACAGTCGCTCCTCAATCCCAGGACGAGGTTCAGCGGAAAATGTGGGGAATTACGTTCATCAAGATTTGATCGCTTTGCACCTTTCTTCATCAGATGGCTCCCTTGTCGGAGCCGAATGGGGTAAAAATGGATCTCTCCGCGACCATCTTCCGGAAGTCGGATGAAAATCCCCTCGCAGCATATTGACAGCGCGCTAAGGTGTTTGCTTCAATACTCCTCGAGCCGCTGTCCACTGCCGCATCCCTCCCTCTCCGCTAGCTCCGTGGCTGGCTGGCTTTCTCCCGTCATCCACTCGACGGAGGATCAATACACTGCACTACTCACACAGTCAGTGACGCCGTTCAATAAGTTCGCCACTGTTATATTGTTCACACGTCGAGACTGGAACCTTCCGCATGGTCTTTGCTCGACTCGATCCGATTCGTTCTTCGATGCTTCCGGTGGCCAGATTCACAATCCTTGCATTTTTCGGTTTCACCCAGAAGAAGGATCCTGAGAGTGAGAATCGCTCGAGGGAGTTCTCCGGGGGGCTAGCTCATTTCCCCGTACACCTTTCCTTCCGAAATTTCAGCGATCTGGGATGAGGTTACATGGTGGCTCCGTATCGAGATGCCGAAAGGACTGCGGCTTCCCTCCAAGGGCAGGAGTGACCAGGAAAGTTTGTCATGGCTAAAAGCTTCCGGAGATTTCTTCAGTCCCCCATTTCCCGAATGAAGACAACAACTTCGGTATTGCCGAGTGACTATGTGTATGGATCAACCAGCTCCCCCGTGCTCTTCGCAGGCCCTGGTGTTGCCGCCTGGAAGAGTGATCGCAGTTCTCAGCGCCGAATCTCGAATCCAATCCCGATCGCTACGAGAATTCTGCTCGATTTTTGCACGGAGTGTACTCGGTCTCGGTTAACTCCTCGCTACGGAAAGGAAAGATGCGAGTACCCACCTCTAAATCTAGCTGATGATCCGAACTCAAGTTTCTACGCCGCCTCATTGCCTTAAGCAACGGGAAGGTCGCTCCCTATCTGAGGTTTCGATGCTTACAAATCGTGGATTCATCCGTTGGTGACTCTGACGGAGCCCCCTTCCGGTAATATTCCCTCGCGAAAGCAATCCCGGATTTATTATCCGCTGACTGAGCGTTTTCGCGGAGATTTTCCGTGTCGCTCCGATTTCCCGTGGGCTCATGCAATCCCTGAGAAATTATTTGTCGGAAGCCAGGCAGCTCAGAGTTTTGCCAAGGGAGTCTGGCGCTTAACATCAAGCTCTCAATGAATCCGCCGAAATCCTTCCTTGTACTTTGTGTATTCTGTGGGAGAGCGGAGAAGAGGCGCTCCTCAATTTCCATGGTGTCCGCAGTGCTCATTAGGAGTATGAGCGGGCAGAGGAGAGAACAGCTGAGCAAACCGCAGGGCTCACGAGAGATGGGAGGATCGTAGAATATCTCATCGGACAATGGGCGAAGACATCCTCTCCTCGCTCCCAACATGCCGGAGGCGCCACTCCTGTCGAGAAAGGATGAACCGTGCTTCCGACAAGCGAGCCAGTCACGCAAAAGCGTTGAATTATTCAAAGCGTCGAAGAAGGAAAAATCATAGATTTTCATATCAAAGCTCCATTTTATTTCAGGGATGCCAGCATCCCGGTCAACTTCGACCCTCGAGTCGGTCACGGATTTTCGTAATTATCAGTCTTTGCGTAGACTTGTGCTTCCGTGAGTGAATTCCTAATCCGGGAGATGCTTCAAGAATTGACTCTTTTAACAATCGATTATTATAGAAACAGCTCAATAAATAGGTTGGCACACCGAATGTGTTTCTCTTGAGAGAAGAATATTCATTCCTAACAGTGATTCATTCCTGTACAACAAGTGGCGATCGACCTCAAGCTACGAGGTCTCTTAAAATAAGTGAACATGAGCCTACTTCAAACTTGCGATCCATTTCGTGTCTATAAAGAAAGCGCAGCCTCATATGCAACGCGTCGCAGGAAGCTGCTGGTTAGAAGCGCTGTGGCACAATTCGAGCTCCGAGCAACAGTCCCGTCGAGCCGCTCAGCGAAGTCGATAATAGCTCGGAGACGAGTCATTTCAGAGATGTTGTCGAAGGTCGTCGTCGGACACTCGTTCGACGAGCTGGCCGCGACTGCAGAAATGAGACTCAAGGAGCGTCAGATCATCATGGTACACATGATCGTTTCCGACAGGCTTGGCTTCCGACGGTGTGCCGGAGTCTCTCAAATATAATCTCACTAAAGATTCCGATTGAACAGAACCTGAACTGAGAAGCAGACGTCGTCCGCGTCCTCGTTCCGTGCTACGGTGTCGCGTTGTCTCACACGGACACCTTGGCCAGCCGACAACAAGTACGGGACTCCCTCAGACACACCATTCCCTGAGCTCCAGTCTATCCTCAGTGTCAGATTCATTGATAGGAGCGGACGTCGTCAGTTTGACGTCCCCGTTCGGAACCGCAGAATTGAGATTTGAGGTCGACTTCGAAACTGAACTCGGTCGCTTCTGAGCGATGTTTTGGATGGTGCGTCCCGTTCCACGGACAGCCGCCTGCAATAGGAAGACACGATCAAGAACTATTCGCCACGAGATCCGCTCGCTTCGCCTGCACGAGATGAGTGCCCCGTTCCCTCCATGCTTCCCGGCTTCTTTCCTCTCCGCTATCTGTCATCGAAGTGGACCCCCACGACTCTCGTCCAAGCCGGACATGACGATCATCCCATAAAAGTCTCACAGGTAGGGCGAGTTAATGTGGGAGGATCACAGCAATCGGCTGAACAGCCCGAGTTAGGAAGTTTCACACGCTCTCAAAGTACCTGAGGAACGTTTTCATCGACCTATGAGCCGTAAAATATGCCATAAAATTGCAGACCAAAAGTGGAGTCGGGAGACCCAACTCAGAAGAAAAACTGAAAACAGAAACGTATTGTTCGTCAACTATGCTCCCTCGGCGCTTTTAAGTTAGCTTTTAAGCGGATGGCGCGGCGAGCAGCCCTCGTCGATGGCATGACGTCAGCTACCGCAAGACCACCGGGAGCCCTTGTATACAGAAATTTTCGAATCACCGTACTACAATTGGTGAATTATTTCCCAAGTCGACTCTCCAGCGGGACTCTTCTTTCCATGACCTTGGAAAGCATTTCCATCTACCCAATTTAGGCATCGTGATTATCACAATCCCGAATTTCAAGAAGAAAACTCCTGGATTCTCCATACCTTGTTAGCTAGCCGTGATCCGAACTCTTTCAATGATTCATCGAGAGCTGCTCGGTCCGGAATCGTTTCATCTTTGCTCCCGGTCCTGGAGAAATAAATGCTTTTTAGACACAGTCGAATACCGTAGCTACACCGGCCCTCCTGATGCGGGACGAACCGAGGAAATTCGGATCTTCGTTCTCACCTTCTGTGGTGCGTTAATGCGACGGAACTGGCAGCTCTGGCGTGAATGGAGCTGCTGTGCTGTAGCACGCGAATCATTGCATCTCTCTCAGCCAGTCTACTCTCCATATCTTTTAGCCGACTTTCGAGTTCTGCACATTTCCGCTGAGCGGCGTGAAGCTCATCCATCTGACGAAGCTTGTCGCTCCTTGCCTGCGTGATCAGGCGTTCGGTCTCCAAGGAGTTCCTCTCAAGAGCGGCGATGCGCGCGTCTTTCGGTACCGAGGCAGCGTCCACCGCCATCTGTCGGAGAGCACTCTCCTCGAGGTACTTCTGTTCAAGACGAGCGACCTCGCCCTCGAGGGCCACAACCTTCTCCTCGTATTCCCGTATGGTTTTGCGGACGTCGTCGCCGTCTCCCGCCTTACGGCCTAGGCTCTGCAAGTCTTTTTCCAGCTCGGACCGCATCTTCTTCTCCATCTCGAGCCGTCTTTCGCTCGCCACTTGCATCTGCTGAATCGCTTTCTGCAGGTAGTGAACCCGTTCGGCGTAGAATTCTTTTTTCCGAATCTCCTCCTCGTGTCGGACGATTTTCGCTTGAGCCTTCGTCAGTGCATGGTCGAGTATTTCGATATGCTTCCGTTGTTCCGCTAGCGTTACGTTCTGAGCTTGAATTTCGATATCTTTCCTCTCCTTCTCACTGATGAGTTCTTTATCTGGAACGTATCACAATGTCTGCGTGAGCTCGTCGGAGTCAAGTCGAGCCACTCCGTCAGCGGCAGCTTCGCCGCTCATTCGATTGATTAATTAATTCCTGAATAATAATTAGTAATCAAACTCACTTTGGCCAAGGAGTTGTGAAATGAGGACATCCCGTTTCGAGAGTTCTTGCTTTAGATCCGTCGTATCGGGCTGCTGCGACCGGGACGCTCTCAGTTTCTGTACCTCCTGTTCTAACTTCGCTCGCAGCAAAAGTTCGAGTTTCTCACGTCGGTCGTTCGCTTTCACAGCGTCGTGATGCGCTTCATTGAGACTTTGCAATTCGAACTCTAACTGTTCCAAGCGGAGGATCTAGAAGCGAATTCCGAACTCACTCTCGGGCTTTACCCCCCAAAAGGGTTTACGATCAACCGTTGAATTCATTGCATATACATCTCCATTCCTCTGGATGGTCTGGAGAAATTCCGACACCGAATATTGTCAGGCAAGCAACGTACCTTTGTGTGGCACATTTCTATCTCAGCTTTCATCGCCTGATTCTCGGAGAGCAGCATGGAGATTATGCGGCTGCCATTGTCCTCCTGCATGAGTCCGACGTTCATCGCCATCCGGGGCGGAGGAACCGGTTCGATTGGGGGCTGCATCGACGCTGGAGATGAAGATGCTGGCGTCGCAGGGTTGCTGGCTTGCGGTTGGGTCTGGATCTCCTTCGCTGCATAAGAGAAAGAAATTTGAGGAACTTGATTCGGATTGGGAGCATCGTTGGGGGTTTCCGGCGGGAGTCGCATGGACTCACTCATGAGTGCCGATATCGTCTCGAGCCCAGTTCCAAGTGTTTCAGAGCTTTATAAGAACATTGCTTTCCACGAAACAAGTGCTCCATCGATAACTCGAATTTGCTTTACGAGCTGATGAGGACCCTGAGCGTCTTCGGACGGTTCAGGGCTAAAGATACTCGCTTCACGGTTTTGGTTCGCTACGTATTTCCTTGTTTACCGAAGGTACGCATCAACGATATAGGAGGGTGTTTTCATGATCACGGTCACAACGGGCGGTGTCAGAAACTTACCGAGATGTTTCAACACAGTGCTCTGATCGAGATAGTGCTTGGGAATTTCCGTTATCTCCTGCACGCCCTGGGTGTTGGTCGGGACGATGGTGAGGTTCGAGTTCACTTCACTGTAAGGAGGCGCGTGCTTCCCATAGAACGGTGACGAATATCCGTCGATGGAGGCGTTGTTCCGAATGACTAGAGTATTGTTGAGCTCATCGGGAATGATCGTTTCCTCGCCTTGCGGCTCCTGACGTTCGCCGTGAGGAACTTGACACTGGTTGTCTAGGTTTTCCTGAGATGTCGGCGCATCCGGATCCGGCTTTATTTTCGGTTCCACCGAAAAGCCCGGGGCCCACGAGGTCATCCTGCAAGAAATCCGAATTCATAATCGTACATCGAACTCGATCCTCCAAGAGGAACTCTGCCGAAACTTGACGGAGGATTTTCGAATTTTGTGACCTAGTCGAACAGATCACCAGAAGTCACAACTACGACGCGCGGCTTCGACTCTCTCCTGATTCGACAGTCCTTGTCCGATGCAGGGACAACAGGGAGAGCACGCTCCTCCACAGAGGATCAATCACCTTGGTCTTGAAATCAGCGACGTTCAAACTCATCAGCACCCACTATGCGGAACTCGTGACGAACCTCAGTCGAGAGCGCTACCACGCTCCCGGATCCGACCAGGACACCGACACAGAAACCGCGAGAAATAGAACGTCCGCACGGCGAAAATGTTTCAACACAGCCGCAGTACTTCGCTGTGTAGCCCAGCGGAGTTCAGAAAGAAATGACTACTCGTGTCACACTCGGAACACTACAAGGAATTTCGAGCGGCAACACGTAGTGACGACGAGTGGTGAGCCTCTAGCTAGCTAAGAAATTCCTCGAATATTTTCCATGAAGCTCGGCAATGCGGCAGAATAAAATCAGACTCACGTTGGACTGTACGAAACTTTGACCAGTACGAACTCGTCCACGACGTTTCGACCGCTTTGTCACACTTTTTCCGAGGGGCCAAACTTCAACTTCGGCTACGTCGGACCGGATCCAGATCCAACGGTCAACAACGCGCTCAAATTTGGATTTTTTCGCGACACGCTCCGAAACGCGCCTCCGGCTCACCTTGAGGAAACTCCCTTGTTTGAGAGTTCGCGGGAACTCTTGAATGTCCTCTTATCCTCTGAACAAGAGTGCACGATATTCTTGAACTGCAGCCGCGACCACCTAAATATGCTAGGAATTCGATGACACTATTGTGGCACGTGCCTCTGGCAGCGCTACCGTTGTGGTACTCTCCCAAGCTCTGTCTTAGCGGGCAGACTCATGAGGAAACCCGCCGATGCCTATCTCTTCTCCGCCGGCTGCTGGGTCAGACGGACACAACGGATCCAGCAGGGGAGAGGGGCCCATAGCGGCACATGGCGCTGTATTCAGCTCGGCGCGGCTTTTGAAAGTCCGAAGACCCTTGGGATGAGGATCCCGAAATTCTCGGTGTTGCCTCCACAGCTCTGAAGCGGGGAAAAGCTCTTTCGGTGGGAACGAACTTTTCGGGAAAACGTCTTTATCCCACGAGGAAAACCGAATCAAGGGTTTCAGGAATCCTTTGAGGTGTCCCGCGTAATTATCCTCCCAGCTCCTCGCTGGATCCGCGCTCTTGTCGTGTCATGAACGTATTTCGATGCGCAACGCGTCCGTTGTCCATCGTCTCTCGTTTATGGTCTTTCCTTACTGAGGACTGATCGAAACCGCGGGGGATCTGGAATATCATCTCTGTGGAGGGATGGGTGTCGATTCTGTGTTGTTTTTTCAGCATGGAATTTTGGGTTGCGCGTGTTCGGCAGCCGCGGGATCAGGAGGGTGGTGACGCTCTGGCTGATCGATTGGCTGTGATACAATTATTTTGGGTTGGAATGTTCCTCTCCCCATATCTGGTCGACGGATTCGAGTTCGAATGACTGGCCAGTCCATACTTGGGGGCTGGACATTCCTTGCCATCGAGCTTTCTTTCGAAGCAGCGTGGTACATATTATGGGCCGGGGCCTCTATAAACGCCGGTTCCACCTCGGAGAATCGCTCGAATGTGCTTGGAATAAGCTTCTCGTCATGCCTCACAAGTTGTTACGCATATCCGACCATCACTATTTCCCTCACTCACTCGTGATGAAGCTCCGGAACGGGAACAGCCTACCCTCACGCAATTGAGCATTAATTTCCGAGACCCCAACGATTTGATCCGTGATCCCATTGCACCTGAAGATATCTCCATCGGTGTCAATGGAATCAATCGTATTCGCGTTACCCTGCTGGAAGATTGCCTCTCCGATTCTGCCAGTCCCGTGTGTTCGTTATTCGGAGACCCTGTTGTCGAATGGAACTTTCGGGGAATATCTTGAACGAGCGTCCGGATCGAGTCAGGGGGGCCTCTCCGAAGACTCCGCATTAACGATTGGAAGAAGCCGCTACCGATTTTCTCGTTGCTCCGATATTGGCGCTCAGGGCGCTCAGGGGGAAGGCGGGGGACGAGGAGGTGGATCGCGCACTATGTGCCTCGCCTGTTCCGCGAGTCCGACACGAAGTGTCGATCTCGTTTCCGCGGATCGCTCGTCGTCCCGACGTAGTTCGCTCATGCGGATGGTAACGAATCGCTCGCTGCGGTCAGAGCCGTCGGTTGCGCAAGCGGGAGTTTTTCACTCAATCTACGTCCGAGAGTAGCTTCAAAGCATCGTGCTTTCGGACAGAGATTGAGAAGAGGCTATCCGGGAAAGGTAGTTCGATTGCCCTATTCATCGTTCGTCGTCCTCGCTGAGGAGAGGATCTTAAGCTACAGGGGCCACCCTGAGAATCTTCATGACGTACGTATGTACAGTAGTTTATTCACATATTCCTCGTTCAGCGCTCGACGAGACTGTGAGTTGCAGACATCCTAGCGTGGCATCGTCAGCATACCTAATGATTCTATGTACACAGCTCGATTTAGTCCTTTCGGACAGGATATATTGCTCGTTATTATAAAGTTGGCCAATGATGAGATATGTTCAACGGTGAGCAGCTGACCAGAGATGATTATTATTATCGTTTTCTCATCTATCCTCTCTTGAGGGGTGTGCGTTGAGGCAAGCTGAGTTATCGTGTGGCACATCTGTTCTCGTCGAGCACGCGATGGATTCTTGGCAGAGCGTCGCGCACTCCGACCATGTGGCACTTGGACTGGATCGGTGATAAAATCTGAAAATATACTTCCAAATTACGGTCCTTTGAATGATAAGGCAGAGTTCCGCACGAAAACCTTCTCAGACGCGTGGACAAGCCAAAACAGATAGGTAGATCGTACCTGTAGTAGTTCTGGAAAACATCGGGGTTTTGGCTGAGCCTCCTCGAGATCGCGTCCATGCTCGCCGGTGAGAGATCATTAACTTCATAGATCAGCCGAGATTCGTACTCGGTCTCCCAATCTATTCGTCCTTCTTCGTTCGCTCGCGTTAGATTGAACGTTCGAGTAACGGAGTCCAGGAGGACGCCTTGTTCACGGTAAGTGAATACTTTGTACGCCGGATTCACCTGAGTTGCGAAGGACAAAAACATAACCTATGAGCGCGCCTGGCGGTAAAATGATGCTTGATTCCTAGACTTCGCCATAGAAAATTTTAATGCTTGAGATGGCCAGCCGATCGAGCAGCGATTCGGCTTTCCGACATTCGCGGTGTTTTCCAGCAAACTTATCCGGAACCCAGAGCCTCGAGTTCTCGAAGTACGTTCCCGTCCGGTGTCACCCCAATCGGCTGACGTCGAATGGAACGAGACTCTTGGAATGTCGCGACGATACTACATGTAAATACGCGGATTGCGTTGTCGAAGACGCGGATGGCGATCTGACAACGATAATTTCCCGCGTTGCGAAACCCCGCAGAACTTGCCCAACAATTGCGTCGGAAGCGCCAACAATTAAAATCCTCAGTCGCCGCTCTGCTTCTATCAGCAGAAAAATCGGTGGAGAATCGTGTCTGGTTTCCTGATGAAATTCAATCGGTCTATGTACAGAGACGCTGCCACAGTCGTTCCAAATTTCGTCCTTGGTACTCACGGCAGAATACGATGTGGCACTGGGTGCTATGAAAGCTGCTCCAACTGGCGTAACGCGATTCGCTCCATAGAACACTCGGAACTCATCGTAGTGCGTGTGCCCATAGAATTGACCGGTGATCGTCGAGCCAAATCTGGAAAACATGAAATATCGAGGGAAAGAAACATGACTCGATGTTCTCAGACAATAAGACGTGTTCCGACGAATATGTCTCTAAATTCACGGAGCTGATGCTGAGGGAGTTCCCCACGAGAGCTTCGAAAGCTTCAAATGCTTCCTCTCACCTCTCGACAATCCTCAGGAATTGGGCGCTCCAGGTATGAACACAATCGAACGATCCTGGGGGCACATGTCCCAGGAGATGAACTTTCTGACCTCTGACTTCGCTGTCCTGCAACTCCCGCACAAGCCAGGCCAGCTGTCCGGCGGGATCCCTCGAGTCCGCGAGGAGCCAGAAGTTGAGGTAGTAGCAGAAATTCGTATTCAGAGCGATAACTTTCAAAACCGGCGAGATCGATATGGCATAATATCCTCCGTGTCGAATCTGAGCGGCAAATCAGCGATGAATTTCTGGGTCTGGCTAGTCCGATAAGGTCCGCAGCTCCAGGCCAATCTAGTTGAGGTATCGCGGACGTCGAACATCCTGCGACGATTACGGGGATTTGTTTTTACGTTTACCGTTTGGGATTGTTCCTCTCCTAGCCAAGGCGACCAGAAGGACGCCAGATTCGCGTACAGCTCCGGGGTCTCACGCAACGTCGGCAAGGCTCCGCGTTCTGTCGAGAACATGTTCGGAGGCACAGCCTCATGATTCCCAATGACTGGGAACACTTTCACGGAGAAACGGTTTCTCAGAAGATCGTAGACGGCCTTTGTGATGTTGAAGTACTCTTGCTTGTCGGACTTCCACACGTCGTGTGGCGGGATGTCGCCCGTCAAATAAATGTGGGACAGCTCCTAGAAATTCAATTTCCGATCAACGCTCTCGAGAGTATCAGATCGCTAACGCGGACTTATCTCATTTGAGTTTTGACTTCTTGAAAAATATCGATTTAGCTCAAGATATCTAATCTTGATTCCTCCAAGATCATATACGTTTACGGTGAGATTGACGGCGTCATCCACGAGACTTTCGATTGTTTCCATAGGCATATCACAGTGACGCAGATCTCCGAAGCGGCCGGAAAGCGATGCCATTGACTGGTTACCCATCGGGTCTTCGGTCTCCTCGGGTGGCTCACGGCAACACAGCGGCAGATCACATTGTGCTTGGGCTCCTTCTCGATATCGCGGATCGTAATGGAAGTCAGACAAATGGAGAATTTTGATGTTGTTCGCGGCCTGAAAGCATTCCGCGAGCTTTCTCTCATTCTTGGTGTTTTTCGAAATGTTTATTTGGAAGGAAACCGCCCGCAATCGACTTCGCACCGTTGAACAGTCACGATTTGCGGTGGTCCCGGCCGGAAAGTTTAGATGTCCCGTGACTGGACAATGATGTCAGCTGGCGAGTACCTAGTGTTTGAAAACCGACTTCGAATAATGAGATCATTCCGGAACACTAAACGCGGTCCTCACTTGTGGGGCCTTTGGCCGTTTCTTGAGAGCTGGCGGAAGGACAACCTCCCAAATGTGTGTCGGCGCCGATATCTCGCCGCATCGAGGGCCGAAAATTAGCGAACAAATATCGCTTTCAGAAATTTTCTCGTAAACCACCAGCTCAGCTATGTGGTGCACCTGAAAGCAAAATTGTAATGTGTGCTATCCGTATCACTACAGCTCCGACAAGCAACTTGATTCCGCAGACGCTGCGAGCACATCCGACCGAAAAAGCGGCGCTTCTGAGCCGATCGATTACGAAACGGCAGAAGCAGTATGGGCTTCACGATGACGACCCGCGGACAGATCCCGGTGAAAAGTTCCCGGGACCGCTGGAGCTCGTCGTGGTGTTTTTGGTTGTTTCTATTTCGCAAGACGGGGATCTCCCTCGGATAGAAAAGTTACTTCCGATCATTGATCGCTCACTGAATTGTTCACTCACAATGTCTATGTAGTTTCTCAGAAGTCCTAAGCAAACTTCAGGCGCCGTCAAATCGCTGACGAATGTATTGCAGCCGATTTTTCCCCATCTCGCCAAGTCGGTCTTGCTGTAGGACTTGAGGGCGACTTTGAAAGCTTGCACGCTGCTCCGACACGTGCCGCAAGTCTCATTGGTGGTGACTCCCGATTTGAACGTGTCCATAACCTGAAACAAAAAATACCTTCCAGGAAGCTCCTCTTGAGGCAGTGCATCACAATCGACACACTGAGTCATCCATCAATTTCGACAGAGGCAACGGATCCGTCTCGCGGAGCGAGAGGAAGAAATCTTTTGGAGAAAAAAACTGCCGGGGCGCACTCGATTAGCGTGGCGGTAGCGTAAGACATCTGATCCACGTTAGGCATCCGCGCGGCATTGATTAAGACCTTCAGAACATTTTCTGTCCGGGCGACTCATAGATGGAAACACGTGTACGTGGATTCGCTAAGCGGCAGGCGGTGATACCCGAAACGTTTGCTGCGGTCAAGAAACGCTCGGTAGGTCAGGAAGCTTTGGGCCCCAGAGGCTCCTTTCAAAAGCTACCCTAATTCAAGGTCGAGCAAATCGACGTTCGTGAACGTTTCGGATCCGGGGGTTCCTCGAACAACACCTACGAATTGGATACTTCCGCGAGCTCGCAGCATCTCTGCCGTTCCGGAGATTTTCTCCCGGTTGCCTGAGTATCGAATTGCATCAATTGAATTCTTCATCGATTGCAGATCGATGTACCCTTCTCTTCCTGGTGAATGACTGGAAATTGACGACCTTGTCGACTGCCGGCTCTTCCCTGTCACTTTTCCACCACCGAGAATTCTATGGCTAAATTTCCCAAGTTCGCCGAGGCTCGCATTTGGTTGCGTCGCGTCGTCGAAATTCTTGGCAACTCGGAATCACCGACTTGGGCCTCGGATCCACCATACACTCAGAGCCGGTCGAATATCGACCCGCGACAGATTTTCCAGTGGTAATTTCACTGACACTAATTCTCATCATTCAATGGGTAAAGAATTATGTTCCATTCCTGTCGGTGGTATCCCCACAATCAATAGGGCTTTTTGCCCCGCGAGACGGGGGAAGAAGTTCCCGCTTCGGCTCCCATGAACGTAAATGGGGAAAGGATCCATGAAGTGGAAAATAGGAACCTTCTCGGATCGGCGAAGCTCCCAGTGAACGCGCCAGCTAATAATTGACGTCGCTAGCCGTGTCAAGATCACGAGAGAAAAGAATTTAGCTCACGCCAAAGAACCGCCATCAAAATCGCTGATCGATGCGATGTCAACATCTCAATATTTCGAAACCTTCGATCCAAATGATCGGGAGTGGGAACACAAGGCTTTCATGAGCTTCAATCCCTCGGCTTCCATTGCACTCTTTGTGTACCATCGTGCTCGCTGAGCTCATCGAGATGTGGGTGGGTACCTCAGGAGGATACCGGAAAAGAATGAAAAGCTCGAAATGCGCTCAGCTAGCAGTGTTATTTTCGGATCGGCTGTCAGCCATTAGCATGATCCCGATAGCCGGCTTCCGAAGCGGCACCTGATTCCGACACGGAGAATTTCAAAAACACCGTTAGGCTTGACGGCCATTCTAATCCGCCGATAAACGAACTCCCGCATCAATCGCGCTCGCTAAATCGGACGAAATCACGAAGAACTCACCGATTGGAAGTTCAGTGGCATCATCTGAATGACATTGTTGAGTTCTTCTTCGCGCAGCTCTTCTAGCTTCGACGACTCCATCATGGCGCTCCGAAAATCCAAAATCTTCTTCGGCTCGAGCACATAACGCTGGGTGAACTCTTCGAATACTTGTTCCTGTTTAGAAACGAGTCTATGCACAACGAATAATGGTAACAGAAGTCCGAAGCCGATACCGGCTGGAATCAGCCACCTCTTCATGAGCACACTTTGCCGCCGCTGGTCTTCGCTCGAAAACTAGAACTCCGGAGCGGAACTGTCGACGAAGCTTCACCAGCATCCAGCCAGGGACGGTCCGAGAGATCTCGGCGGCTTCACACAGCGGCGGTCCCAACCGAATCGGTGGTTTTAGTCAGTGAGCAGACTTGCTCGACGGTCCAATCATGTGGCGCAACTTTTGGGGCTAAGCACCATGTGTGCTGTCTACAGAACCGCATGGTGAAAAGGTGACTGCGAGCGAGGAGAAACTGCGAGGGGTATCGGGTGCTGCGGCTGAAGTTGCCGCGGCTGCCGCAGATTTTCGCTCATTAGACTGTTCGTCACGTACTCAATAATTATTCAGGTGGAGGTGATCGCCTCGAAGAGCCCTTTCCTGCGGTGCCTTCACACGCTCGAGGAAACCGTGACCTTCGAACCTGGTTCCAACTTTCGGAGCTCCGCTTGCTCTCACCGGATTGACGATCGAGGTGTGATTCGTTCTTGGAGGTTTCTACTGAAGACGAAAGCTTCAACTGAGCCTCAATGTCGGAACTACAAAGAGTTTCGCGGAGAGTTCCGACATGGGGCGAGATCGAGACTCCGTGAACCGCTCAGAATCCATCGTGTGTGCGAAGAGCACCGCGTTCATGAACTCGATTTCACTCGATCACAAAATTCTCCCCGAAACTTCATTCACCACACCGGAAACACCAATGAGCATCGAGGAGCTTCAGTCTAGCGAGCACGACTCCGTATGGAGCTCGACGAAGGTCTCTCATGAGAGGATTTTCCCACCGATGAAGAATCGTGAACGGATAAATCCATGCTCCACATAATTATTCCCTCCGTAGAAAAACGGTCCACTCAAAGTCTCCGCGCGAGCTCCCGCTCCTTCCCCACTCTTCGACGACATCGAGATCCTCAATCATTCCAGAACACTGCTCATCCAGGGTTCGAGAAGCAAACGACATGCCCTAGTTTCTCGAGTCGGTCGCAACGCATATGAGCCCGTTCCCTCCAATCACGTCATGGATGAGCCGTTTATTCTATGATTTCTAAGACGAATCATCGATGCGATTATTGCACGCGAATGATGTCGACGGAAATTTCGATGATTGGGGTACTATCGTCTTGATGCAGATCGTTTCACGGGCAGACACTTGATTTCATCCGAAGCTTTCACTCGTCCTCCGTGTCAGAACCGTAGGTACATACAATTGGATCGAATATAAACGCTCGGCTCATATAAGAAGGACGGAGAAATTCCGACCGCACATTCCACAATGATGTACGTTTTATCGCCTTCGGGAGCCGACTACGTCAATCGCTCTTCTTGCGGAGCTCAACGCTGCGGCTCGGGTAGAGGATTTCAAGAAAAATTCCCTCCGAAAAAAGGCACGCGCGGCGAACTCATGACTCCCCTACGCGAATCCGCGCTCACAGTCATCAGTATGTGCTGCGCATACGGGACCCGGTGGAGAATGCGCTATTGAACGCAGGAGGAAAGACTTGAGCCTCGAGTTAGCGGAAGCCTGGAAGCGGAACGAGAACGACCTCGAAATGGGATGCGCGACCTCGAGTCCGGATCTGCGACCTCGCCGCACGGCCTTGAGAGAACCGGCCTTGACATCTCAGGATTCCTGCGAGTTCTCCAGGCGTCTTTGACCTTGCTCCGCTTCGGCAGAGGGTTCGCTGACCTCGCTGTCGGGAAGATGTTGGAGGTAGCCTTGGCTTCCAGCCGGAGCTGGGCCGGCCTCAAGGCCCTCTACATGCCTCCCTTTCCCTTTCGAACCTGAAGTGCTATAAGTGACATTTCATGGTTATCTCTGCCGGTTCCAAGCGAGCCACACCGTCTCGATAAGAGATAAGAGATAAGAATATCGAACATCCGGGCTCGGAGCGATGTATCCGAATGCGCAGCGTATTTGGGAAAATTATCACAAAACAGCATGGCCTGGTGTCTGGCCTTTTCGAAGGCGCTCCCTTAATCTGGATTCCGCTTCTAACGTCGAGTCATCGCTAACACTTTCGGGATTGGGATGCATTCGGAGGTCGGAAATGAGCGCAAGTAGTGAAAACTAAGTCGATTGATACCCTCCAGCGATGGAGAGCATTTAAGCGATCACCGTGAGCATCCATCATCGTGAGCATACGGGATGGTCCCCTCTATGCAAAACGCTCCCTTGAAGTGGCGCTAGCTTCGAACCGGATTATTTGTATTATTTGACACGCGTATCGAACACGTATTGAATCATTCCCATTAGTGACTAGGAATCTCAGTTATTCATACGCTCATCCTTGGGGGGCTAGGGGGGATGGGAATTGTCAGGACGAGCGGCTCGACATGAAAGTTCAGATTTCCAGAGATTTCCTTTGGGATGGAGGTATTCAATTCCCAAGATTCCGAGGAGGAGGCCGAGATGTAGCAACGAGAGATTCGGCTCCAGCGAGGACACCGAGAGCAAATGAGGTCCCCGAAAAACTCGTGCGACAAGGGTTCTTACATCAGTATTCGAACGCAAGCATTCGTCGGTCGCTCCGGATACCATGGAATATGGCCTCTCGGCTTTGGGCAATTCATTGCAGATTTCCTCCCAGACTGTGGCTGCCCACAGCTCCAAATCAATCTTCCATATGTGGCTTGGGGGTAGGGGGGGGGTTGTATCGAGACGTTTTCCGGGCCGAGTAGGAGATCACTGATGATGTTTCTGACCAATCAAACATTGGAACCAAGGACCAATCCGACCATTCGAAAGACTCGTTGCTAAGTCTTGGCTCGCTGATTTATCTCTAACACCCGTCGGGCCAAGAACTTCCACTGCCTGCTGGAATATCACAGAAAACACCGGCGTCGCTCATGAATCCAGGTTCGGGAGCAGTGGATTTCTACTTCGAGGAGTGATTTTCTGTTTGTCAGTCCGATATGGAATCGTTGTAGGAGATAGATACCTTCGGAAGATATGATAACGACTTGCCTTCGGATCCACGTGTCTCTTACCTAACGAAATTCCCTTCCGCTTCCCTCTCTCGTGTTTTTCCCCTAAATCGTAATCTTCTGGGAGAATTGATGGCGTCAATCATACCTATTGTAGACACTCACTCAGAGGAATGGAGCAAATAGAATTGCTGTCCAATCGGCGCAGCCTGATCGATGAAGCGGAATCCGGGAGATCACCAAACCAATACAGAGATATAACCGCGGGAATGATAGACATGAATAACTTCGGAATCATGAAGTCCCGCGCGTTGCACAGGATTTCCATGGCAGGTCTCCTCGAACTCAGCCCTCCTGCCAACATCATAGATTCGAACCTCGGAGCGCTTGAGTTGCAGTTTCTCAATCGCCCTAGCCCGAGCAGAAGCTGAGCAGAAGTTTGCTCTTTATCTTATTCATCATTTACATTCGAGAAACTTGTTTCAGACCTCCGGCTCTCCCGCCAACTCAATGCTCAGCCATCAGCGATGTAGGTCCTGATCATCTTCTGACAACATGGAGAGGTCGTTCCTTTGGCTCCTTCTCCCGCCCGTTTGTCGATCGAGACTACGAGGGACGGTGATCGATGTGAAACCGTTCGCTGGACATGATCTCTATGAGAGTCTCTCACAGTCTCGGAAACCGTTCATTCTGGCTAAAAGCACGCACATATTCCGGCAGAAGGACCGATAATATATCCGCCGATTTCCCGGAGAATCAACACTGAGGGAAAATCGCCGGCGCTATCGATGCGAGTGCCCGGAATTTTCCCCTCCAGTGATGAGCGATTCTTCTAACAGCTTCTTCCGCTCGGGAGAGCTCGAGCACATTCTCAAGTCTGGGAGCGTGATATGTGCCGAGCACGTACACGGAGAAACAATATGGACATGCGAGGGGATCGTCATTGAATACCCAGCTTCGTAAACATACTTCATCTTTTCTGCATTCGGGATTCGACTTCGAGACGGAGATTCCCTTGTTCGAGGACTATCGAGTAATCTCCTCACACCACTGTGCTTGCGGTACCCGCATCATGACGGCTGACAAGGGAGTACCCATGGGCCACCACACGACAACACAGCGCTGGCACCAAAGAGCAATCGGGGCATCTCGAGTACTATCCCGTACTAGTTGTGGACGAAGAGCTCTCCGCAGTCCCTGTCACTGTCGACTTGACCTCCGGAGCACGGGGAACTTCGTCTTTGGATGATTATCTCATGAAAATACTTTTCGCCTCTCGAGGGTTCCGGTCTCCGTCGCCCAAATTGACCTCTCATCGTGCATTGAATGCATGGTGATGAGAATGAGGAGCTGCGCAAAATTCATCATCGCCTCATCTGACCATATCGCTGTAGCGGGGAACATCACCATGAGGTACGAAAATCAGGGTCTTCTCGATAGCCCCCTAATGCTCTGCCTGTCAGATATCAAAAATATTCTTGAAGTCGACCGTTTTCAGATTTGAAGCAAAGTCAGCTGAACTCCGATTCGATGTCAATTTGGATCAGTTTAGCCCCCAAATTGCTCCGGAAACCTCCGGGGCTCGATCCTCGCCGTCTCTCTGTTTAGGGGCTCGACCGGAGCGGCGGGAAGCAAACGGATGAAGAGGATACTCTGAATGATCAGGGAGTCACACAGTATCCGTATCGCGAAGGGATCACCTTCATTATTGCTTTGTCTATGGCCATTGTCTTATGTCCGACAGGGTAGGTTCCCTCCATGATTGAATATCATTTCATCAAGCCGAATGACGTTCAGAGAAGATTTCCATGAACGAAATTATCGGGAAGATCTTCAACACGGTTCGAGTTCTCGTTGAGCCCATGATACCGAGATCTGCCGTTTCTCGGGACCTCCCGTCGATTTTTTGACCTCAGAGGGAAGGATGGAATGAAGGAGTCGAGAAGTCCTCATGATGGGAAAGCTCCTTGAGGATACTGTCCCGGAATCGCTCGGGGTCATGCTGGGCTGCCAAAGACATGGATGGCATTCATCCCCGATCATCGTGTCCGATCTCCAAGGCCTATGCCTCTGTTTTTTCGCGAGAGAAACCTTCGACATGACCAATTCGACAATCGAAGATAGTCTTCGCGCGCGCTCCCTGTGTTGTGGTACGTCGGCTCCGCTAAATTAGCGGAGTTTGAAGATCCCGAATTCGAATAGGTGAAGAGGAAAGGAGCGCGCCGCTCTCATCTCAGCGGCGGCAGCAGTCGACAATAACACGGCGGACGACAGCAGAATGTTTGTGTTGCCGACGTCGCTGCTGCAGCTGTTGTTGTCGTCGTCGATGAGTCCCGCTGCCGAACGAACAGTGGTGAGAGCAGCAGAGCTGTGTGTGGCTGTTCCGTTGACGCGAGCAGCGCAGCGTCGCCGCGGCCGCTAAGACCGTAGCCTCCTGTAGGAATTTTTGAATTGACCGATACTGCTATTTCGCGAGAGGAACCATCGAGTTCGCCCAAAAGGATATCTCTGTGCGTGCGGTGTTGCTCAAAGGATTACGACATCATCAGCACATTCATTCTTGACGTGGATATTATTATTATTATATCATCATTAATATCATTATTGTTGCCACCGTCGCCGTCGTCGTCGCCGTCGACGATTTCCTTGGCTTTCCTCTCGGAGAGCATCAAAGTCACGCGTCAAGGTGTGGAAAGGAAACCGACAATGAGAATCGTGGTGAACAGCTGAAATTTGTGTCTTCGAGAACTGCTGAACTCAGCTCTCCAGAGCAGCTACCACATCCTACTTCGCTTCGAGACTTTGCTTTGAGGAGAAGGAGGAAAAACGAGTTTGTGTTGCAAATCGCGCCAACATGTCGCAACACAGTGATGAAGTGATGGCCACCACAGACTCCTTCTGGGAGCCTGGAAACTACAAACGAACGACGAAACGTATCGAGGACGGTAATCGTTTGTGTTTAGACCTAATCCAGCTTGTCAACGAGCGCGCAGAGATCGAAAAGATCTACGCGAAATCGCTCAAGGGCTGGGCGAAGAAATGGAACGATATCATTGAGAAGGGACCTGAGTACGGTAAGTAACTCTAGTGCACACGTCTCATGGGCGACCCAGTGCCGATATGCAAAACGCTCGGTCGGCTGGTCGTGGTGTCGGTTTCCGCCCGATCGTCGGTCGGTCGGGAGAGTATAGAAGAATGTCTGTATATCTAATTCGTAGGGAATCGACTAAATGTAACGGCGGTCTGATACAGTCCGTTCATTGGTTGACCCCCGAACCGAATCGGGTTGGCAAAGTCTTACCGACGCTTTCTGCCGACTCCTGACTCGTGCGACGGGTGTTCTGAGCGTCAGTCTGGACTGACAGAAGAGAAAAGACGAGGGGATTCACGGACGAACAAGGCAAAGATTTTCCGCTCGATTGTACGGCGCGATTTGAAGCGATCGATTTCTGAGCCAGGGTTTCAGCTCATGTCAGTTAGCCATGTAGTCGTGCGTGTTTCCCGCTGTATCTTCAGCTGAATCTATAGTCGGCTCCCCAGCCTCCTTTTTTCTGTATATCCGAGATTAGCTCTAGTCGTTATTGTTGCCTTTTTCATCGATCAACTCCGACTCCGTCGAGCGATTGGATCTGCAACCGATCACGGGTGGGAAACGTCACGGAGGTGTTCGATGGAAACTCTGATTTGAGAAATCCATGATTGAACGGGAGGGTATCGAAGTGGGGACCTGGTTCTATCGCTCCGTAAAATCAGACCCGGTCTCGTTGCTCGTTTCTGGCATCCGATCCAATATCCTTTGGCGTGTAAAGCCAAGGTCGCGCACAGAGAGTCATGTGATCGCCGCTACATTGACAGACAATTCCATACAATTTTCCGTGTCAGCATCTACTCATGTGGGCTCCGGCTGTTGTTATCTGCGTCACGGTTTGCATTTGGGTCAAGTTTATCTGCCGGAAAAATGAATTAATCGAACAAGCCTGACGGAGTCATCGTTTTCGACCCGCTCTTCGTTTGTTTCAAGCATTTAATCGTTACGGAACCTCTCCCTACCGAACGTAGGCTCGATCCGTCAAATTACGATAACCTTCATCCACATATCTCCCTCGCTAGCCGGCCCGTCCATCTATCTATCGCCCATCAGGTCGCTCGACCAGGTCGAGGTGAAAACCAGGGTCCTAGCGCATCTGCATCTTCGGTTTCGATGACGGAGAGCCGATTGTCCCACATAAAAAGGAAGTCAAGAGACCCTTTAGCGTGAGCTTCATTTGCTCCAAGGTGACCCCGGAAAGCTTCCGTAGAGACGTGCAATGACAGTGGAATCGTCGCACACGGTCGAAGGTCTCTCGAGAGGGTCGTTGCTTGACGATTTCCTGACGATGCTCCTGTTTTGACGAGTTAGTAAATTGCTCTCCACGTCGTTCTCGGAAAGATGGCGCACGTCCGTTTGACGCAGCCCCTCGGACAACAGAGCTCCGGTTAACTCTTAGTATCAAACGCTCAGCGAGAGTCAGCGGAGGATCGGCGAGCTAGAGTTTCACAGAGATTCCAGATTGATCACTTGTTCTGTATGTTCTGTAGCTCAATTCCGAGCGTTCACCTTGCCGACGACCCGCTGTACCGAAAGTTTCTCTCAACATGGCATTCAAATTTCTCTCAAGAATGGGACTCTCGATATCTCAGATTCAGCGAAGATCGATGTATTTGCGACGAGCATCCGGTAATCATCACGGCAAGACACCGGAGGCTCGTCGGACTGTCACGTGTCGCTTACTTGACGGAGCGAGATTCGCTCTGGACCCCGACAGGAAGAGGAGACAATAAGTCATCCTTATTATTTTCCTCTTATTCCTCTGGATGTTCCTCCGGAAATTCATTCAACAGACTAGATGATCGTATCGGATCTGTGAGTTGTTTCTGGTCATCTAGGGAGGTAAAAAATCGAGTCGCTCAAGACGCGCTACATATCTTCTGGTCCGTAATAAACAACATCGGCCTCCGTGGCAATGCCGTGTCAGCCACTCTGTCCAAAACGGATCTTGTTCGAGCTCATGGGCGAGTTCATTCGTTCCCTTGTGTATCGAAGGCGACGCTCCAACGTGCCGATACAGTCCAAATATTTGGTATGTTTAGCGGACGGCTTACGCTAGCGACGATCTCTCAAGCTGAAAGAGACCGCGTCGTCTATTTCCGTCAGTGAGTGTGCGACGCGAGGAAGTACGCTAGGATTGCTCTCCCAATCCTACCAAGGATGGATACGCTTTCCTGCGAAGGTCTTTGGATGGACTACCACTACAGGCCGAAACTTCTCAATGGTCGACCTTCGCAGCGACGTGAACTCGATAACAACCTGTGCTGGGCCCACGCCTTCTGACTCACCTCCTGTTCCGCTGGCTCCGTTTCAACCACATTACTGGTCCCCTATCACAACTCCGAAAACAGTGTCGTGAGCCGGGAATAGCTCTAGGAGGCACAAGATGTATCGGTCCCCCAAAAGAACTGACTTCTTCCGATGGGAGCGAAAATCCTAGAGCAGATCGATGCGAGAGTCCCGACGAGACGGATGAATCATGGCAACAGATCTCCCAGGGCAGAAATCTCAGTGATTCCACGTAAAAGTACGAAAATTTTGGGCGTTCCCGGAAGACTGGAAAATAATCTCATCCGATGTTTTGACCGGGATAGTCACCCATTTTCCAATTCCACGACCGTGATGTCGTCTCTCGTGAGATGCGAACAATGGCTTCGCGTTTCCACGTGGGCTCGAGCACATGCTCTGCCCTTGGAATAATGGTCATGTAGGTGGTAAACGCGTGGAATTAGAGTTTCGGTAATCGACCGGTACAGCATCTGATCAGGGATCCCTCTCAGGCCCTTGAATCAATGGCCTCCAACATGAGTATTGCTAAAATCGTTGTTATCCGGTGAGCGAGGAAGAGGAATGGCCAACAAGTCGAGACGACTACTGTTATCAATGAAGATTTCGGTAACGTCCACGTTTTTGTGAGGGTGAGAGCGTGACCGTTGGCTTCAGCGTGTTCGGCTTGGTTCGTACGCGTGGATGCACGCTGGAAGAGCCGCTTCTGCCACCATTGCCGGAACGTGTTTTGAAATGCAAAAACGAACACCCGACCGCGATGTCACCACGGCATGGGGCCTCCCGAACGACGATTGCCCATATGGGAGAATCCCTGTCCGATAGTTGCTCTTCGCCAACGACGAGCACGGAGGGACGGTGCTGAGAAAATTCTTAATTTGCTCATTTACACGAGACGTAGCGCTCCTCCGCTGCCGGTCGCTCTGTGAACTCACCAGCGTGACGTCAGCTCCCCAGGGCCATTTCGGCCGAGCTCTGTTCTGGTTTTCGACAGTGATCGACATTGAGACTTCCTCGGTATTAACAATAGCTGCGTGAGATAATGGCAATAATAATTAGGAGTACCTACCTATTGGGAGCGCCAATATATTGGAATCCATTCCACTTCGGGAGAAGAGTTTTCTGGTATCTCAACAAGACCATTAGAATACTTTCATAAAGCAGCGTGAGTTATTGGCGTTGGAAACGAAAGTTACAACGTCTTCCCGTTCCGCGCTCCGTTAAATTGCGTGCGCGAACGAACTCAGTTGTTCTTAATTCTGCCGCATCAGAACTTTCGTGCCAACGATTGCGTGCCTGAAAATCCGGGAACTGTTCAACGACATGGTTCCGAAAGAGCGCGAAAGGTGTATACGCTTTCTGGTGATTTGAACGCATGAGGTATAATGGAATTTGAGACGAGCATGTTTGCTCCTTTGACGAATAGTACCGGTCTCGAGTGCCCCTATCAGATCTCTTTTTCGTAAGGAATGTTTCCGCGGAATCAAGCTTGCTACCTTAGCCGATTCGCGGACGAAAATGACGAAGGACAGCCATCCGCTTTCTGATCGCGGCCGATCGCCCGCATCACGATCTGGGAGCTTGATATTCCGTCGGAGGGGACGTGGAGGGGACATTCGAGGGATCATCCCCCGGGTGCTTCCGGTGAGGGGAGGTGGCCGCGCGTTTCTTCCTGTTTCTGTGCCTCTTACGTCCGGCAAGGCATTACTGTACTGAGTCTCTGCCCGTCCGATGTCCGCGCGGCCATACCAGGGAGTCGAAAGTCAAAGCGGTAGGAGCGATCTCGTGCCGACAGTGGAGGTCGACTCCATAAATCACCTCAGCCTCATGGAGTTGCTCAGAGGGTCAGTCTTGCTTTTTGGGACACGCTCTCTTGATGTAGCGGGTCGACGCATTCAGCTCGCGAAAAATTCACGCCTCATAAATAAATTCGTTTCTCAGAAGAAGACTCCTCTTGGATACGCGGCGGAAAGTCAATCGTAATTATGTAGGAGCCGATTTGAAATTCTGATTCGAGCTTCGTGGGACATCTGGAGCTTCCTCAGGATGATATAAGTTCTGTGCCTTCCGGGACACTTTTCAATTTTCTAAAGAGCCGGTCTTCCGGACGAAGCTCAAACAAAAAGCTTCCGAGGGAAGGTGAGATGAGCTCGTCTCCGCTTACCCTCTTCGTCACCAGAATATCTGTGAAAGGGTGGAGGCCCCACGGCTGACAAAGCTGGTTGAAAAATATCCTCGTAACCGCTAATCTAGTTTTGTCTTTAGCCCGGCGGGTCTTTCGGGTTTCACGGACAAGGACCACGAGCTAGCGTTTGGCTCATCTATCCACTGGCTGGCTGGCCGGGCCTTTATAGACGTGCGTCCAGCGATTCGGATCTCCTTCCAGCGCTTCCAGCATTGAGCAGAAGAGCTTTTTGAGATGCGGCGTCGACACTTTTTTCTGGATTCGTTCCCCTTCCTCTCCATTGCTACCGCTCCGAAATGCTCCGAGTGAGTGAATGAATTTTGCTCGCGGTTCTGTTTGTGGCTGCTACGCCTCAAACATCTTTCGGCAGTTTACGATTGACAAAATTCGAATTCAATGTGGAACCACCGCAGACGTTGCCGCCGTCCAGACAAGCGGTTGTCCATTGTTGTTTGTCGGCTTGAGACAAGCCGCTTGGCTGACTGACTCACTGACTGACTGGTTGGCTTGTTGGCCTCTTTAATCTTCAACCGTCCCTTGTAAACGCCGTCGTTCCAAATGTGGGCAGGGTGACATCGGACTTCATCAACAACTTCAGTGAAACCGTCCACGTGGAGTCGCAAACAGAATCCACAGAGTCGAGCTCGGAACGGTCGCTGTCGTCGTCTCGTGACCAGCGGTCTCCGGAAATTCTGCTGAAGAATCCCTGTATTGATCGAAAATCATCAAATCCCTCCAAGTAGGAGAAAGCGGTTGTCAGGTCAAAAAGAGACGAGCGAATCGGAATGAAGACTGGAGATTTTAAGACCGGCGTTCAGAGTTGGTGCTACGATGGTACTCGCTGTGAGGAGCGAGCAACTCCTCCCATTACTTCATTGTACACATGACGATGATGTAGATATTTTTGAAGCGCGGTTTTGAGAAGCTGGGATAGGAACCTAGGGCTGAAATTCAAGAGGACCCGGCGCCGGCGGCCTCGTCCGAGCGCTGGAGATATTGACCACCGAAGACCGAAACACCGCTATGTACGGAATGAAGATGTATGTTCCGTTGTCGAGACGTACGGTAGAAGGCGGGACCAGCTAATCTTATTGAGTTTTTCCCGTGGATTTTCGCCGATCCCTTGTCCTACATGATGTCTGACGAAAACCTCCCACGAATTCGATTCCAGAAAAGTGCTCGGTAGCACGGGCGCCCCCCTGGCGAATTTCGACGACCACAACAAACAGTCGCATCGGCTCTAAGAGCAGAATCGTTCCAATGATGTCGATTAGCGACATTGCTTGCTTACGTTGGTCGGGAAGGATGACGATTCACGCAGCTTTGAAGAACGACTCCGATGCTTTCGTCGACAACCAAGAAGAGCTCGACGACGACCAGCCCTTCATGACGGTGTGGCCGAATTCTTCGCTGATTTTGGGGTCACCGTAGGAGGTGTAGCACCACGCAACCAACTGTAGAACCAACTGTCAGAAGTTTAGGGAGCGTGTCTGACCGCCGCGACGCACAATCGATCCATCACCGGCGAACCGACTCGGCTGATTCAACCGATCCTCTGTATCTGTTGTTGTTTTCTTCTGTGGTAATTCCAAGCTCGGCATAAAAACAGATGGATGAATTCGAGGAACGAGCTCGCCCGCTCGCTCGAAGACTCCATACGAAATCTCTCATTTCGCGATACTACGGAATCGCGGATTCGGGACCTCGTCGAGACAGGAGTTGTCGCCTCGCCGGTTTAACTTCACATCGGAGACGTTGACAGAATTTCGCCAAGTTCTCACGTGCGATCCCGGGATTCCCCGTAGCTGCGGTCGGACTCTTGCTCGGGAGAGACTTGCGAGGCACGAATTATGAAGCTTTCCCGACAACTTCACACGCTAGATTCTCTCTAGCTCCATTCTTGGGTGGAAAATTGCGCTTCGGCCAGTACATACGCGTATATGACGAGCCGGTGAGCTGGCTGGGTGGCTGTATGGGCGAGTTAGCGGCTACGGGCAATTCTAACGGCGCGGCGTGAGAAGTTTCCCTCTTCTTCCACTTACCCAACCAGTAACAGAGTCCTCCAGTATCCAGCGACTGAAAGAAGCCAATCAGCGCGCGGAATTAACCTTTTTCGGAGAAGAAGAAATCCATAGATAATTGTCGGAATATTGAGAGCTTTGACGCGTAGGTTCACGGCGATGCTTTCCTGTTCAATTTGATTGGCGATCGCTGGAAAATTTTCTCGCTGATCGCGTTTCACTCGTGTGAAGAGAAAAACCGGCTCGTTCCTCGAGAGACTGACGGAGCTCTTGACTACTTCTCAGTCGCTTGTGGGTACCTACCATCAAAGAGCGGATCGCCGATCAACAGCACGCGCTGGTGACGCTCTTTCTGTTGCGTCGTCGTTTTTATCCTTCATTTAACACAGGTTTCCGAAGTTGTTGTCAGAGTGGTATTTCTGTGTTTCCTCCTTCAAATATATGTTCATCTGGTGCCGCAGGTTCCGAGGAAGGTTTCCGTGACAGCGATTGCGGAGCTACTGGAATGTCCGAGACGTTTTGAAACCCCGTCGATTCTCCCTTTTCCCGTGTCGAGCTGTCAGTCAAAAATAGAGAAAGCGAGAATTTCAGGATTCCACGCAACGTCCTAACGTCTGCTCATGTCTTCTCTACGACCGAGCGCGAGACCAGCTAGACGTTCACGACAATCCTCGCACGGGGCATCTCTCATAATAATGAGAATTTGAGCCTATCGTGATCGTCAATCGAACCTCGAGTCGAGTGATCCTCTGTCGGATTATTCCGTACATGGAACGTTTCCTTCCTCCACTAACGCAAGGAACGTCATGCCTAAGTCCGCTCCTGTTGCTGGCAAAGCCATCACTCGCTCCGTTGTTCGTCTATGATGTTGCGAGCGTCACTCCACCCATTTCCTGGACCGGATTGATTCTCTCGGCGGAGAGAGCGCGGTGCCGGCTCAGTGCAGCGCTTAAGGCCGACGTCTAGTGGTTTTTCTCGGCGCATTCTCCTGCGAGACAAAACTGTAGAAGGGATACCGTCGAAGAAAAGAGCGAAAATTTCACTCGAATACTTTTGTTTGCTTCGAAGACCCATCGGCTGTCTCCAATTTTTCCACTCAGGTCGCGCGGCAGAATGGATGCTGGTTCGAGGAGAACTACGGAATGGAAAAGGAACGACTTATTGAGAGAGGAAAGAGAGGAACAAGGAGGACGTCTGTAAGAGAATGAGAACCATAAGGCGTGACGCTTAGAAAGGGCACCATATCCATCATGGCCCTTCGCCATTGTGATGTTCGAAAACTCTTCGAAAAGTGGTTCTGATCTTTAGCAATCCGATCAGAATTTCAGCGGGTCTGTCGAAGTTGTTCCTGAAGCGTATGAGCGGTGAGCGGGGAGTTTCGGCTGAGTGTCTGAATCACGTTGGAAGACTCGCGGATCAAGGAGCTCGCCGAACTCCAAGATATCGCTGTTATCCGTGCGGGTTTGCTTCGCTTGGGAGTCGATTTGCGTCTCCGCTCGGCTCCCGAACGGTCGGAATAGGCCGGATCCGGCACGTACCGGATATTTTTACATATAACATCAGGATACCGTTCGGTGCTATCCGATAATCCGATGATCACCATTGGAGTTACTCAGAGCGGCGCCGGCGGCTCGCGTGGGGCACGCGCTCACTTAGTCATCGACACTAAAAGTTACTTCGCGGCAGTCGAGAAAGAGTCGGAGACGTCCGAGATTCCCGTGGAGTCTCTCCGCTATGAAGCCAGGCTCTTGACCACTGCCGTCTTCGGACTCGGCTGGCTGGAGGCTCGATTCGATCAAATGAGCACAGCCCCTGAGAGACATTCGTTGTGCCCAAATGTCATACGCAGATTGATATCTCTTAAGAATCTAGTATATCTGCGAGATACCGAGCTTCTGGAGACGGCGTTCGCTAAGTAGTGCTTTGCTCCAAGAGCGAATATGCTGTTTCCTATTCGATTTCCGTGGCAAACGCTGACAAGTCGCTGACTGACTGACTGACCGAGCGGCCAGTCGACTAGCCGCAACTTTGTTACTCGACATGGGTCCGTCAATCAGTCAGTTAGTCAGTCAGTCGGTCAACAAGTGACGCTGTTTTGTAACATCCTCGCTGGAAGAGAAAGCTTTTTGTTTGTCCGCCGGTCGACCGGGTCTGATTAAGCCGGACTTACTTCAACTCTCATTCCCGAATTGTTTCCGAGGCTTGTTTGATGAATGTGAAAAGCAGTGAATTTCCGTTGCCGCTTTCTATCAACACGTTTGCCCCACAGCCCACAGCTCGTCCATCCGCTGGGCGTGTTCATGCTTCAGTTCCCACTCAGATCGAGAGTCATCGTCCTGTTTTTCCAACGAGAACCCCTTTCCCTTGAGAGTTCAGGTCCGGTCCTTGGTCCTCATAGACGCAATAATGATGTGGGTTTCCTGAGGTTGGGTCGCTATATCAAAAAAATAAAGTCGCCTGTTATGTAAGGGGCGGAAAGCCATGGTAAGGCTCTTCGCTCGCTCAAAGTTCGCCCGAATCGCGAAAAAGCTATACGACTGTGACAATGGCCAGATGTTTCTGTAGGATGTCTCCTAACGTCATTGCAAGCAGCTGCTCTCAGCCACTGTGCAAGAACGGGAGACATATGGTCTGTTGCTAAGATCCTACTGCCAGGTAGGCTCTACCGGGAGAAAATCGACTGGGGAGGGAACGACATCGGCTGTATGTGGCCCGAAGTGCTCTGGTAGCCGATGCTCCGTGACAACACAACATGCTGAAGAATGCTTTCTCGAGAAGATTATAACCGCCTAGTGACGTAGGCAGGTGTAGAGGAGGCCTTCGGAAGTCCGTCCCCTCCATGCTGGTCCCATCTTCCTACTCTCGATTTCGAAGGAGCTCGCCCCCCCTATATACATTGACTGCCCCGCCCGTTGGAGAACCCTTGCGGAGGCATTGCTCCCTCGAACTTTGAGATTTCCGCGCTACTCTCTGGGAAGCTTTGTTGCATTTCCGACAACTCTGATGAGCACCCCTCATCTGACAGCGGGGCAATTATTGACGAAAGACTTGGATCGTTTTCAGGCACAACCGAAGCAGCATGGAAAGGCGTCACCATGGAAGCTGAACGAGTATGTGAAGTTCACCTGCGAGTCAAGGAGCGTCTCTTGAATGACGTCGTTTCCGAAGTCAAACGATGGCAGAAAGATAACTTCCACCGGAACATGATGCAGCAGCTGAAGCAGAAACGAGAGATGGACGACGCATTCAAAAAGGTAATCGAACGTCAATTTCTCTGCTTTCCTGTATTGATTTCATTGCCTTACTTTCAAACCCCGATTCGGACCCCGAGAAACTGTACACCAAACCTCAGCGCGAGTCAATCCGGGACTCATCCTGGGAGAGATCGATCTCCTCAATTCTGAGCGTATAAGCATCCTCGAAAGACCGAGAAGATGGAGACAAGAACTTTCTGAGAACTTTTCAATTTATTTCTGTTTCCGCAAAAAAAGACGTGAAGAGTCGGCTCTAGCACGGCTTCTCAGTTATTGAGTCATAGTCTGACTGAGCGTCGATGGGGCCCCCGTTGATCGTGACGACGTGAAATCTGACGTCCCATACTCTTCACAAAAAAACGGCCAAACAAGCAGCCTACAGCGGGCAATCGTCATCATCGGTGTACGCAACCGTTAGGTCATCGGACGGTCAATGAATGACGGCGTGGAGCGGCAGCTGATTTCGCGCACCTCGCGTGGGCGAATTTCAACTAGACAATTTAACGGGATCGAGGCCAGATAATAATTGGCGGAGGGCTCCAAGAAGCCCTCCCTTGACCGCGCTCGATTTCTACGACCACGCGTCGAACACTGGCCCTAGACGTCCGAGCAGCCCGGAACGAAAGGACGGTGGACCGGCGGTCTCCTGGACCGCCGGACCGTGTATGCTTGGCAGTACTTTCCCGAGAAGCGGCGTTCTTCTGGAACGATGGAACGATATACCAAAGCATACGTTCCCTGGGTACGGCTTTCTTTCGGAACGATGGAACGGTATGCTGGAGACTACCTCCCCAAAGAAGAGCGTTCTCTTGGAGCGTCGGAGTGACATACTCAACCCAATCTCCTTGGGGAACGGCGAGGAAAGCTAGGGAAATCGTTACGGGCAACTGTTGAGAAGCTGACATGAGTCGGGATCGATTACAATCGGCTCAGCCCATCACGCTGATCGTGGATATCCGGGCTAAGGAACAGCGGATCACTGGAAGCTCAGAGCCTTCGACGCTCTTCATTCTCAAATATACGAGACTCAGAATAGGGAGATATTCCGCTCCCTCGCAGCTCGCGGGTCTTAGCATTCTCGGCGTCTGAGATTTCCTCGTGATTCTCATCGTTTTTGTGGATCACGATGAGTGTCCACGGCCGAAGCCGAGGCTAAACGATTCGACAATTCGACGCGACGACGCTCCTCAGAGAAAATCATCATGAAATGAACAATGAACTATGAATCCCATTGATCTTCCAATGTGAGATTACGTCCCGCCAATAAGGGACGTCTCGTATGAGGGACCTCAAAATTCTTGAACAACGAAGTTTGTGCCTACTATGAAGTTGAAACTTTGGTCGCATTCTCCCCCGCGAGGATAACGAAGCCAGCCGGGTTTTCAATGAATGATGAATATCGAGCATAAATATCTTCAAAATATTTCACGAAGTTGAAAAAGGAGAAATTTAAGGTCCCTTATACGCGGGACTTTAGGGTGATCGATGCTTGTTGCCATCGCTGGATTCGACATCTGCCGTCTCAATCCATCCGGAAGGCAGACGCCATCGTGCTGAAGATCTTCCTATGGCAGACCGTGAGCTAGTAACTTCCTTGTGAGCTTCAGCGAATGAGTTTCTCGGAAGAAATTCGAGCTTCCGAAACAGTGCGGTTCGTTCTTAGATTCGGGGAAGATTAGTTCTCGGTAGGTATGTTGATTGAGCATGAGCACAGCATGACGCATCTCGCATCGAAAATTCGACATCGCCATTTTGCGGGAGGAGCGCATTAGAATCATCTGACGACTAAGTTCGAAACGGAAATCCGAGAGCCGATATCTCTTTCGTCTTGTCCCGGCCAATGCTACCGGAACCGCTTTGTGGAGCTCATCTAAGAACTTCATTTCGATCCTACAGGTCGAGAAATCTGGTTTTGCATGTTTCGCCGACAGGGCATCTCATGTATTTCTCATGAAAAGTGAGCCATAAGAGACAACAAGCTTTAAAGGATCCGAAGCTCTCTGAGACTCTGAGGCTGCTTCTGCCAAGCCTAGAGTTTCCGCAATCGTTTATCTTGCGGACGCGGACAATCTTCGTGAACATGCGAAACCCTGCAAGACCAAAAAAATTTACGTCTGGGGAGTGATTCTGAGAACAATGGAATCCATGGAAAATTATACCTATCAATTATTCATCGATATGTTCCATGAACTTCTATTCTAGTGTCTAATTCCTCATATAACGAATACTGCGTCGCTTCCTCAGGGGAATGCCTCGAGGGGGAGGTACCTCGGAATGCCTGGATTGCGAAGACTTGACGGTATTTCCCGCCTGAGTTCTTTTGGTGCGCTCTTTTGAGTCATCCCGTACTCCTGCATAAACGTTTCCCAGGGTTTGGAATTGGAGTAGAAACCACGCAACAATAGCTTCCGGCAGAATCGATTGTCGTCGAGCCTTTCTTGTCGAAAGGTGCGGCAGTTCCGAGCTTTGCTAAACTGCCTTTCGACAATGACGCTGGTCGGCGAGATCGTGTTCAAAACCGATGTCATTTTCAATGGGAAGGCTGCATCCCCTAGTATATCGATGTTCTTCATCAAGTATTCGGCTTTCTCCCTAGGACCCCGATGACCGAGCTGTGTCCTGCCTGAAGTGTTGAAGAATTGTTTCGAGAAAGCCTCGAAAGTGACTTCAGACTGCGTCGCATTGGTATCGGCCTCCAAGTGCTCGTCCATCCCATCCGAGGAGGCATCGGCTTGGAAGAACGCCGCGATCTCTTGCTCTATCCTGCTCGCCGCACCCCCTTGCTGTAGGCGGTGGTCAAGGGCAGTCAATGTCTGCCGGGATTTGAGGAACATCGCGCATCGCGAAGCGATGCCACGTCGCTTCGCGATGTAATCCACCAAATTCCTGCGGAGATCCTCGACGAATTCATGCCGTCCGGCCAGCCGATCAAGACTGAAGAACATATACTGGAAAGCGGAAACTGCACATTGTATATACGTATTGATACGGGAACGCTCGACGAAATCAATCTGTCGATGAACAGAAGGATATTCTCGATTAGTATCACCTCTAATATGGCTTCGGAGTCGAGTAAGGTGCTCTCATCCCGAGAGAGTCGCTCGGTGGCTACCTCCGCGATTTTTAAGGCGGGAATAATGGCACGAATTGATTCTATCTCTCCTCTTGAGAGCGGAAAATCTTCTCTAGATTGTTCGTAGTATGCACGAAGACCCGACTCCATCTCGAGAAAGCGTTCCAACATCTTGAGGGTACTGTTCCACCGAATAGCGATATCCGGGAGTAACTTCAGAGACTTCAAGATGTTATCACGGCAAGTGTCCTCAAGAAGATCGGACTTCAGCGGGCTCTTTGAGAAATCTAGAACAAGGGTCCTGATCTTCGAGATGACCCCCCAATGTCCATCGTCAACAATCTCTATTTGAGTGCCCAGCTCATCGGAATCGCACATTTCTCCATCGGGAGCTGAGGTACTTCCTTCGAGTCCGGCGTCGAGAGCCCCCTGAAGCGGCGTAGATTGTCTCGCATGACCTCTGCCGGTCTGATTTCTCCCCCGGAGTGTCGCTCTAACAGCCAAGTGTATGCCATGGGCATAACAAGTTTGGTGGTAGAAAGGTCGGTCCCCCAGCTCGAGGGCCATAAGTTTGCCGACCTTTATCATTGACTGAGCCGCGTCGGAGGTGAAGCTCGATATGTCGGTGAGATTGAGATCAAATGTCTCCAGAGCATCGCGAATCGCCTCGAGCAGACTCTCCGCGTTCGCGTGCTCGCGGAAACGGAGCAGCAGATCCACCGTTTTCGACTGAACGGAGGGTACGAGCATGCTGGCGCGGAGAGTGACGCCAACGAAACGTTTCCTCTGCCAGGTCCACTCGTCCGCGACCAGTGAAAGTATGGCTCCTTTTTTCTTGAGCTCCCTTAGGTCATCTCGAATGAGCTCTACGGCGCTCCCGTACTCGGCGTCTACGCTTCGGCTGGCAATGTCCGCATTGATTGTTCCGAGATTCGCAAGCCAGTAGAGGATTCTCATGATGGGGTGCGAAAAAGCCACGAACGGAATATTGAGGACTGCCACCAGGGCTGCAGTGATCCATGTTTTGACTTTGGAAGTCAAATCGATCACAGACGGTCGCCGTGAAGGATCGCGATCGGATTCAGAATCCAGTCTCTCGTGTTTTCGGAGATGCTTCCGCATAGTCGTTACACTCGAATTAGAAGCCGAAACCGTCTTCCCACAACGGTTGCAACTTGCTTTCTCTCTGCCTCTCGTGGCATTCGGACATAACGTGAATCGACTCTTGACTTCAGCGTCTGAAGGAACGTAATCACTCTTGAAAGGGAGACTATCCATCGTGTCGCGGCATACGGACTGATGAACTCAGTTCATGGACTGTCAAGGAAGATCATACATAGAAGACAACTTACTGGAGAGAGAAAATACGGACGGATCGGAGCCGTCTAATATGTCGTCAGGCTGGTACTGTCCGACATCTAGCCCGTCCGCGTCACACTCAGTACTAGTAGAATATCCGCCTGCAAGTCAGCTATGACTATCACTTCATACAGACTCCGGAATCTCGACCCGAACTCAATCCTCACTCCCTATTCGAGGAACTCAGTTCCCCAACGAGATTTATCGGCCTGCTCCGGGGATCGAACTTAGAACCACCCGACGATAGCGTCACGGCGCTAAGCACTCGGCCGCCGCGCGCTTGATTATCGAAGTCCGGCGAAACCCTCTGAAGCTGTGCCTATTACTCGTCGATAGTTAGTTATCCTTATAATTGGCAAGGGACAAACAAAGTATAGGTTTACCTGAAATGATCGTTTCTTCATCGAACGGCGGGCCTTCGACTTCCGGATGAGCTGAGACAGAGATTTTTGGAGAATCGTCCATTCTCGAGCGAGCGATTATGTGGCAAGGGGCGAAGGATCGCTGCTGCGAGCTGCGATTCAAACTTCGTCATCATCGGGCGAATCGATCTCCCAACTTAAGTAGGGATCAGCCTCGAGCCTCGAGGATACCAATAGATTCGAATGCCGAATCTCAATTACGCCATTTCGCTCCGGGAAATTCCCGGGCTTCCAGCTCTGAGTATGATGAAAACAGAGCGAGAAGTGGAAATCTATATATAGGCTTTCGAGAACATGGCAACTATCCAAATAACCGCGCAATTCACGGGAGTAAATCCTCTCGAAGGATAAGCTAGCCTAGTTTAATAAAAGGTGCGCCTTTTCCGAGCACTTGCATTTTTGAGTGGGTCCCTCGCAGCTTTCGGTTGCAGGATCTGCATCGACATCCACAATGACCCTGACCATCGGTCATTCGACCCGCTGGGAAGTTCTGTCAGGAAGCACCGGTAGCAGGGATTGAAGCCACGCCACCTCTCGCGCGAGCCACGTCATTCATGATTTGAGAGCGACTTCAGTTTTTGAAAAGCACGTTTGCACGAGAAGTGGCGGACGCCCTGACAACTCGACCACCCGTTGCGCTCGACCAATCGCGCTGTCTCGCTGTCATGCGATGCGTTAAGTCAGACCCCATGCTTAAGCTTCCCCTGAATGAGATCCTAATTCTTCAGTTGAGCCCGCCAGTTCCGTGAGCAGATAAATACATGCATCTCCACATCCAAATATCTATCGTGTCGCGAATTATCCAACAATCACCACCAATCAGCTCGGCATCCATACAACTCCTGCGTGTGACTTCTTCGTAGCGTTTCCTCGCCGCTCCTCAGGAACGACGTTTGCTCGAGAATGAGGTTCCGTCCTTCAGGGCGAGAACCGTTCCTCTGGATCGAGCGCTGCAGCACACCGATGCACCGTTCCAAAAGAACGGCGTTCCTCAGGAAAGGATGCTCAATGCTCGAGCACATCGTTCCATCGTTCCAGGAGAACGCCTTTCCCCAGGAACGTATGCTGGACTATACCGTTCAA